AAACTACCAGGCGTTTTTAGATGAACGTTGCGAAAAACTGGGCACTAACCATAATGTTAATAGCTTTAGCATTCGCTCATTTCTCTAGCGAACTTTTGTTGAAAGAGCAAATGATTATCACTGTTAAAAAAACGTTAAACAACGCTGGTCATATCGATGCAAAATTGATCGATTTTAGCGAAATTTGCCAAAAAATCCAGTGAAATCGGCTGTTTTTTACTGATTGTTTCTTGGCGAAGTTCCCCCCGGAAATTTCCTGGAAATCGGCCGATTTTTCTAAGACTTTGCCCCTGAAAATCCTTCGAAATTTGACTTTTTTCCGCTAAAATCCCGCGAAATCGGCCGATTTTTCTTCGGAATTTGACTTTCCTCCCGTGAAAATCCCGCGAAATCGGCCGATTTTTCCGCGAATTTGCCCCTGAAAATCCCGCAAAATGTTGCTTTTTTTTCTGCGAAATATCAGAAGCCCTGTCTATAGCACCAGAAGAATACATGTACAGTCAAACCTCTCAATACAGACACCTCTCTATTACGGACAGTTTTCGATGTCCCAACAAAATTCTCATACATTTTCTTTAAAAAAACCTCTATGATATGGACTCTCTCTAATACAGACAATGGACACTAAATCTCGGCCCCAGTGAGTAAATTAATAAACTTAACCTCTTTATTACGCACACAGCAGTGATTGGTGATCAGGTGAGCTTGTTTCGTTTTAACCGCAGCAATTTGTCTATAGTTGAGATGTACAGTGTACAAGGTTGTATGCTACTGAAAGGCAGTGTCTTTGTACTGTGAATTAATAACTTTAAATGCAATTTAAAGATGAATGTGAGCCTGGTTTTAGCTACTGAACACATAAAACTGTAAGTGGAGAAATATAAGTGACGAGATCATAGTGACCTCTTTTATACGGACACCTCTCTAATATGGACACTTTGCTCTGTCCCTTCGGTGTCCGCATTAGAGAGGTTCAACTGTATGTGCCAGTACAGGCAAGAAAGGGGCAGGGGAGCAGGTTTAAAAGGGTAGAGGAAGAGATCTCACGGCTTGTAACAACCAAACCTTTCCCCAGTACCATGCTTTTTAAAGCTAGTCAAGAAGGCCCTGTTTGGGCAAAATTCCAACAAGTGACATGGCCTTGTTGATGTGAGAACGATGAAATGGCAACAGACAACATGAAGTGCTGAAATTCAGACAAGGGTCTGGTCAAGCTTTCTTCTAAGCACTGGTCAATGTCTCACGCTTCGTGTAAAACACAAGCACTTGAAGTAGCCAAAACAAAATGCAGAATAACAAAAAGATACATGTATAGTATTCTTAGATTTTACTGTCTTTCCTCCATTTTTTTTCCAGATCAATCTCTTGTATTTTTCTCCTTCCGCTGGGCTCTTACTAGGCTTCATTCCATGTGGAAAATACATTTAAGAATACTGGAGACAAAGATGCTGCATGGTCATAGTGCAGCTTGGATGACTATACAGTAAACCCTGTACCTGTCTGGAGTTTGACACAAAGTCTAGCACAAAGCATGTACATGACTTAATTGCCTATGGTTTATTATCACACTAACCTGTTACAAGGCAGAAGTTTGGTTTGGAGTTCACTGCACCAAAAAACTTGATGATGTTCTTGTGACTGAGCATACTTAGAATACTAGCCTAAAATAAATGAATAACCATGAATAATAGTTATACATGTAAAGATAAACAGTGCAGCAAACTTTATACAAATTGTTCAGAATGTGAAGATCTAACTGGAAATAAGGTTCTTAAAAAGAAAACATAGTCCAGTTATTCGATATACCAAACAAGACAATAAATGTACCTCAGCTTAAAAATCCACAAAAAGTTAAAATGTTAAGACATTATGACAAAGTACAGGTAGAACATGACATACTTTTAAGCATGAGTTTGATTTCACATAATCTTTAAACTTTCCAACATGTTTTTTTAAAAGCAGCCACCTCCTATACTACACATTTATATGTTGTGGTTCAATTTTATCCTCAGTTTAAATTTTATTTTCCTTTGTTTTAAATTCATTACCACACATCACCATACCCTAAAACAAAGGGAAATAAATTAATTTTGAACCAACAATAACATTGAACCACAACATATACAGCAGTCAGTTACCAGTCAGTGTACATACCATTCATGCTACATTATAAAGTCATGACATACTGTAAACCACCAAATAAATTATAAACTGTTTGATATTATGGTACAGTTCAACCTCCATTAGGCAGCCATCTTTGGGGTTTGGGGCACCGGCAAGTGGCTGCTTAATAGAGGTTGGCCGCTCAATATAGGCTCATTATAAAACCACAACATGAACATAATATTTAGCAGACACATAACTTTATAATGGGAGCAGCATTAATAATTGTCCACACTCAGTCCTCACCGTCTATGACTGACTGTATTTTCATTCATCTTATTCTTGAAACAAAACCAAACTAAGTGTATCAAGCGCTTGATGGCCACGTAATAGAGGTGCAGACAACAATTAGAGAACTCTCGTTGGGATGGCCAAAAGGTGGTTGAGGATGCTTAATGGGTGTGGCCACTTAATAGGGGTTTCAGTTCCTATTCTTTTCTATTATTGTTATTTCAAGACTTTGATTACTGGCTGCTTAACAGAGGGTGGCTGCTTAATGAAAGTTCAATTGTACTTGTATAGATCTACACTATGGTATTCACTTTCTACAAAGGTTTTTTCTTGCTGTAATTTACACCTGTAAGTTTGCATGCTCATGCAGAGGTGTAATGATTGTTATGCCACAACCAATAAAATTATTACTTCTATTTAAATTTTCCCCAATAGCGATATTTCTTGTTTGTTAACACTGTTTTTGTTATTCAAATATTCCAACCGCTGAAACAAACGAACCCATTGTCTCAAGAACCAATAAATATTAAGCCCTGGAATAGCATATCTTTTTAGATCAAGGAATAGACATGTATAGGTGATGATGTGAAAATATTGCTAGTTCATCATTTGTACACTGAAATAATACAAATGGGGCCACTTGCATTAAGATATCACATGACCAATGCTTCCTTAAAACAATGAGTTGGAATCTTGCTGATGCCAAAAATTGACAGAGCACATAAAAATTATCTAGACCTGAAATTTGAAAGGAAACGCAGAAGGGAGATATTTTATGGCACTTTGATTTTTCAACAAAGAAGTATCATTTGTATTGGCCACCATGTTGGAGGGCAAAACTACTTTTTGTTTAGGTCTTGTTAAACATTTGATAGTTACACTCAGATATGCTGTAAACATTCCCACATCAACTTTTCAACATTTTCCTTCAAGTTTAAAATGCAAAATTTGTGTTCAGAAAGAGGTAATTCATAATTTTTAAAAATCACATTTTGTGCCAGATCATAAAGTCCTTTAAGACTTTAGGCCCTAGGGCTTATTTTTGAAATATTAAAGCATTAATATAATGTCATCTGTGGGACCACCAACCTAGTTTTTTGAACTGCATTGTCATGCCTTACCCACCAAGCCAATTAAATGTTAAATATATTTGTGGTAATTTGCTTAGATTTCTCTCATCAGTCAAAATGAAGAAAAATATGGGTAGAACTACATGTTCACATAGAAATTTATTACAGTCTGACATGGTATTTTCAAGGCACCCGCATAACAGCCAATATCATAATAGTACTTAAGCTGTTGCTATTACTGGCAACAAGAGAAATCAATCCCTTTATGTAGACAAAACCCAAAATATACCTACAATATCATTGAGGCATTCAACTGCAATAATATCAATATATGAGTCTCAAAACATTACATACTATAAACTGATGCAGAAGGAATGCCATAATTATAGTTAAAAAGTAATGAATTATCAATGGTATAGTATTGCACACAGTCATGTGTAATGATAATAATGAGCATACAGTGGTGAAGGATTATGATGGAAACAATCACATGAACACTTAATATTATGTTAGAGATGTAAATTAAGTTTTTTTTTTTTTTTGGAATTGAAATTGGAAGAATTGTCTAAAAATAGTACTAATTTGCTGCAAATAAGCCTTGAGCACTTAAAATAGCAAATATATTGAAGCTTGTATCGGCTAAAAATAGTAAGACTAATCTCTCATATTAGACATCAAATGTAAAGTAGCGTGATTTGTCAAAATATATCAAAAAATGAAACCGTTTGATTTCAATTACGTAGAGAACTATACTGTTATGAGACGTACACCGTGATGATATGACGTCCTATAACTGATCAGTTTATTCCATTAAGTGGATTTGGCTAGAAATAAAACGTCTAATTTGGTTTGTTTTGGTCTTAGAACAAATAACCAAAAAGGAAACAATTCGAATTCAACCTCTATCAAATTATATAAGCTTATTATGATCTTGATAAGTACATACATGCATCATAGAAAGTTGATTTGTTAGGTTTCAAACAAACCACATATCGCACCATATCAAAAGATCAGCTGTCCACAGGCTTATTTAAAAGTCAAAAATCATTCTTATAAACTTTTAAACTATCGAAGAATATACCGAGATAAGCGCTGTTAGTGGCGTGTACAAGGAAAAAATTTGGAGTGAATTTACTTGCCTCGTTTCCCAAAGTCAACAACTTCTTCACTGCGACCTCTTTTCCCTGTGATTTCCATCTCGCCCGGTACACAGATCCAAACGATCCCCCTCCGCATCTCTCGAAGAACTCCAGGTCGTCAAAATCTATCGTAACATACTCCATTTCTGCGGGACTAAAGCACTATAAAATTTCTACATGTTACTAACAAAAAAATTTGTGCGCGTGCGATCCGAACGTGAAACTCTGCAGACCAACACGTACTGCAGACTTACATGAAGTGCCTCGTCACCTCGCTGAGCCTTCGGTCTTTACCGGTCAGAGAATAGATGTAACGTCATGTATGCAATACAAATTATCTATCTTTTTTGAAGAGGAGAACTGGGTTCCAGTAAATTTTCGAGGCGCGATAGTGGCGCGAAGATTTAGAAATATGGCGTCGTTTGTTCTGTTACTTTGACACTTCTTCGCGTCATTTTAGTCCGAAAAACAAATTAAATCATGTCTGTGAAGGTAAAAGATGTCTTGGATGCGCTCCAGCAAATGCAAAAGAGCCTTGAATGTTCTATATGGTGAGTACAATTTCTATAAGCTTTAATAATTAGCGTGGGTTCTGCAAAGACGAAAGACGCCATGTTTATTTATTTCGTATAATTATAACAAATAAGACTTACTTAATTCGCAGCCTTATTCCTTTCTTTTCGACAGCCTTGAGCTGCTGAAGGACCCTCATTCGACTAAGTGTAATCACCAGTTTTGTGGGTAAGTGTTATGAACTTTCCTTCGACGACAATTGTAAATGCAAAAGTATTTTGCAACGGGCTTCACTCTTCATTGCTTGTACACTGTAATCAGCTACTATGTGCCATAAAACCTTACCTTGTGCAAACAAAAGGTCTGAAGTACACTGAAGTGTTTAAAGAAGGCTTAAAATAAGGAAATACTTGCTTAAAATCTCCACACATCTCCGGCCATGTCATTTTATTTTGTTGTACAGGCACAGCTGACAAGCAGCATTCTCATGATGATACTATTTCTCACATACAATGTTATTAGGGCCGACAAGAAGTATTGGTAATATGTAGGACCGAGTGGAGTACAATTCATATTGTAACAGGGGCAAAGTACCATAATATTCCGCAAATAAGCCCCTCCAAATATAAGCCCCCCAAACTCATAATCCCAAAAACCCTCCATTAAATCGCCCCTCCTAATAAATTATAAGCCTCCCCAGGGGCTTGTACTTGGAAATTGCCCTCAAATACAATGTAACACAAAGTAAAAATGGTAAATTTCCTTCCAACTATAAGGCTAGCCCAATCGATTTTGAAACGCAAATTTCCCTCTGTAGATAAGCCCCTCCGAATATAAGCCCCTTCAAAAATGAGCCCCTCAAAAAGGGCCTTTGAAAAATATAAGCCCCCAGGGCTTATTTTCGGAATTTTACTGTATGCATTCAGAAAAGATTAGGCCTGTTCAGGAAACTTAACCTTTTCAACTCTGTCTTTGATTGAAACAGTCAATGCATCAGACAAGTTCTTGAAAAGAGCAGCAAGAAATCCAAAAACAAGTGGTACTGTCCTCTCTGTAAGACTCCTGTATCCAAACGGTAAGTTCTTTTAATTTTTTGTTCCGCTGATTCTGAACCTTTTTCTTTTGCTGACAGGCCACAATTATGTAAGTCCGTAAGCCAAAAAGTGATTGAACACCTCTTAAGTCTGGTCCCCCTAGTAACCCAAGCATAAGCATAATATGGTCCTCATTAGTAACGCCATTGAGCTTATGAGCTGTTAAGCAGTCCCTGGCAACTGTACTTGTCCTTAGACAACAACAAAAAAGATTCACTCCTCGCACCAACTTTGTAGACTGGGCATCCTAAAGGTTCAGATCTTTTGCACTCCCTTAACCTTTTCTTAGTGATCACTGCTCTTGTGTAATAACTTTTAAATTCACCTTTTTGATGACTTGCTGGTATACAATTTGATCTACAGGGTACTGCATGCATACATGAGCACACTGCAGAGATTCCAATTGACAACAAAAACTTTGATTTTCATTTTCAGGAGCCTGACTCCAAATCCCAAGCTAAATGAGATTGTTGCTGCAGTGCGCAATTTACAAGGAGCAGTTCAGGATGACACAGGAATTCCTACAGGTGATCAGATTGTCAATATTTAAGGATAATATGTAAAATGTTGGAAATTATGCCAGCACCCTTGCACAAGTAACAATTTTTGTGACATAGTTGATAATATCTCCCATTACTATCAATAAAGGAATTAATAAACACCAAAAATACAGGTGTATTTCAGGAACATTTACTGTACATTAGCCAATCACAATAATGCTCAGGACTCATAAGCAGAATACAAAACCATTAACAAATTACCATTGCTGTTTGCACAGTTTAGTTTGTCATACCTGATTTGATTTTTATTGCAACAAAATAACATTCCAGAAATATTAATTCTGGTTGCAATGCTACCTTGCTACTGTGCAGACCAGTGTCAATCTTTATTTTCTTGTTATATGAGTATTTGAGTACAATTATTATTTTGTAATTTGCTAGCAGTAAGTTTTCATTATTATTGTTATAGTAAAAAACTTCTAAAAATTCACTTTCACATGGATTGAAGCTTCCTAGAGCACTTGTTGTTGGGTATTCTGAGACATGAATTTTGACTTTTGACTTTCCAAATTTTATGTTTAAATTGTTAATGTTAGGCCCAGTTCAGAAACAAAACTTTTCATGACAGGTTGAATTGATTCAGATGACGATCTTAATTCCAGCTGAACTGGGAGAAAAATGCTCATTTCAGCCAAAATTGCAAAATACGTAGTAATAGCATATGCATTAGGTTGTGCACATGAATTGAGGCGCTGTTCCATAGTCACTCCAAAGTTGACCTACACTGTAGCTGAAAAAAAGATAATTTTGGTCAAATTGCTTGCAAAATATGTAATAATAGAATATGCATTTAGTTATGCACATAATTTTGTAAATTAGGCATCTGAATTGAAGCATTGTTCCACATAGTCACTCCAAAGTGTAATTTCCCAGCTTGGCAAGGCAGGAAGAACAGCTGAGCATTTCAAATTGAAATAAGCATTCCTAATGGTTTCAGACCCCAAACTTTTCATGTACTTTATTCAAAGTATTACCAGGTTTGGCTCATGAATAATGTTCGTGTCTGAACCCGGCCTTATCTGTGTGATCATGATTGTAACTAGCTCTTATCATCTTTGTTCAGGTTCTCCACCGTCACAGCCCTTGAAAGGACCCAACACAGATGTTAATTCCAGTTTGGTTTCTTTTTCTGTTCCTCAACCAACACCTCGAAAAAATGCTACTGGTCGCAAGGGTAGACGGAAAGCTTCAAGAGATCAGTTTACTGTGTACATAGAAAAAAAAGGTATATAACGATTTCATATGAAAATAAAAGTTACCCCAAATTTTTTTAACTTTGCACTAAGCACTGCCTTTGACCAAAAATTGTATCCAATTTATGAATGTACAACTCTTGTGTGCATTGGGTAGAATATTTAAGTTGCATGTGGAACAGTGTAGAAGACACTTTAACCTGCAAAACAAAGCAACCTAGAGCAGTAATTATGACAGTTGTGGAAATAATGTAAGCAGACATACAGTTGTACATGTTTTACAATGTACATGTAATACTGTGCAATGTACCAATAAGATTTGTGGTGAATAACGGTCAAGATCACGTACTGTAGGGTACCTGGTATTCTACAAGTCCAGTTAGGATACCACATTTGCCTTTATACTGGGTGTCACTGCAGTTAACAATTTACTCAATGAATTTACAGGCTGTACAAGAAGAGAGCATGAAAAAAAAATTAAAATTGTTTTTTGTATCTACTTGATTGTGTTACATTATTGTAGCTATTCAACCTACCAAACAAGTAACAGAAATGTCTGGTTAACTGTAAAGTTAACTACGGTCACATTTTTATTAGGTAATTCAGTTCTGCTCCAAATTTTGTAAAAAGAGTACATACCAATGGTCACTGGTACTAAGAGTGAAGATGTACTGTAACACACTCTACAGTTCCAGCTGGAAAAACAAATTAATATTATTGTCATTCTTGATCCTATACAGAAAATTTTGGACATGCTTTGGAAAGCCAGCCTCCTCAAATTGTATCAAATGTGAACATAAGGTACTGTACCGTCCACACATGTGTGATGTGTTTCACTTATAATTAACTTTGGTTAAGATTTTGCTTTCATTCATTTCAAACTCATTATCATAAATCATTACCATACAAAGGAAGGTGAACTCTAAACCTGTGAGAAAATTAAAACACAACATGCATACCATGTTCCTGTAAATTTTAAAAAAAAACCATACATGTACCCATTTCAGACCATACCACTGAGTCAATGTAATGAGCATCCTTTGCAGATGAGTGCCCTTCCACAGAAAGGTTGTAGCCAAACTAACATCAAGAACTTTTGCCAGGCTAAGTGCCCCTTACTTTAATAAACAAAAATGTCCCATTCACACCAAATAAACATGTTTAATAAAACCAGGTTTTAAAAAATGAAAAACAGACATGCAAAACTGGAACACAGGTTTATTTCAAACAGGATTCAAATGAAAATCAGTACATTTTTCAATTTGCACTTAATTCAGTGAGCAGGTTTTAAGAAGGAAACAATTTTGAAACATGTTTAAGCGTCAGTGTGTACGGGGCTTAAGAATATCTAAAGGGAAGGGGTTCTATAATAATTCTGTTCTGACGTTTTTTTCCTGTTACTTTGCTGTTTTTAATTTGAGGACTCCCCTCCTCTCACTGTAAGTTAGTGTCCTCCATAGAATAAGTGCTGCCCTCCTTGGTTGAACCACCATGTGTGACCACCTTTGGTAAGCAACCACCACCCATAAGTGACCAGCTGTCAAAAACATGAAAATTTTCCCAGTCAGCACCCTATAATCAGAACCTCTGTAAATGACCACCTTTCATAAACTACTGTGACCACTTTTTGGCCTGATGGTTTATTGTCTTCTATTGTATTTAACCTCTTGCAAGCAACCACCTGTGCAAGATGGGGTTTTTTTGTTCGCTATGTGAACTTCGTCACTCAGAGTAAACAAAGAACTTTCAGTGGGTAGTGCAGGAACTGCTTGTAAGTTCTCTCCTAATTGTTCGCAGGGAACAATGACATGTCATTCTTCTAACTGTTTTAGTACTGTTTGGGGTCGGTGAAACACACCTATTTGACTTCTCTTCCGAGCAGCTGCTCCATGACCCCTTTCAGTGCCAACATCGAAAACATAGTACGTGTATGTTCTTCGGTGTCGGGAACTCCTTTTGAAAGGGACTCCCTGTTGACAATAATTATAAGCGACCACTAAACCTTCTCATTTTGGTTGGTCGCTTATGAGAGGTTCAACTGTCGTACATCGTAGTCTGGGGGAAATCTGTGGCCACTATAGCCCCTAGTGACAGCCCTGTAATGTCTGGCTTGTGAATTTTTCCATGCACCTTTTTAAAGCAAAATAACCAGACCTGATCAAGTATTTGGTGTCTCACCCTTCCCCTCTCCACCCCAATGTTTTTTATTATTGTTATTTTTTATTTTTTTAGTTTTCAGCTTTATTGGTCTAAATCTCTTCTTAATTAATGATATAAATGAAAAAGAAGGTGATGCAGCATTACTGTATTACATTACATCATTACAGTAAGAAGCTAACTGCTTAATTCCTTGATTTCAAAGCTATTTTTACAACAATATTATAATGCTGTACAAGTAATACACATTGTAGGCCATGCAGTAGCTGCGTGAGAGTCTGCAAGTCTGCCAAGTCTCCTTGGCTTGGTGGTTTTGTTATAATTCCATATCACTGTCTAGAACTGCACACGTTCTGTTCTCTTTGGATATTTTTGTTTATACATTGTAATTTTAGGTCATCGCTTCGACCATTGCCAGTGACACACACACAAACAAAAGCCAAGAAATCAGCCAAAGCAGAAAAAGCTAGGAAGACAAGAAATTCTAGAAGAATACAGGAACAGAAGAGTCTTCAAGAGGACCCAGATGTTGGGAGGAACAGCAACGATGACCTGCTTCACTTGATAGATACCATGACTTTTAAACCGGTTCCTACTGAAGGTGATTGATCTTCTTTGCCACCCTGAAGTTTTACCTAAAATCATAAACTTGGAAAAATGAAATTTTATAATGTACAGTGTACAGTTGCATGGACTAACGATACTTACGTGTATAGTTGTACAGTGTATTTATCTTGCGCCTTGTCTATATAAAATAACCGCCTTACTTGTTAATGAATAGGATAACTGATGCTAGCAATACACTGTAGTTTGCTTCAGATTGCTGACTGCGGTTTCACGGTTTACACTTTATATAAAACAGCAGTGCATATATGTACATCACCAACAGTAGCTTGTCAGGTTTTGGCCTCCATTATATTGTTTTATCCAGCGTCGAAAGTTGCAGTAACACTATTTGTTTTTTCGTGCTTACAGGTTCATCTAAAGATTTCATTTTGGACCCAAAGACAGAAGAAAAATTAACGCCAAGTGATAATTCCTCTCCTTCAACAATAACTTTGAGCACATTGAAAGAAGACGCAGGTGAAAAAGACAATTGTAAACTGAATCCGTCCATGCAGAAAGAAAAACCTGTTTGCTTAACAACAATCGCTGAGGCGGACTCGTCCATCAGTATTAACCCTTGTAGTAGTACAGGATTGTTTGGAGACAAAAACCTGGTAAACTGTGAGAACACAGCAATTAGCAAAGAAGATATAGTGGCAGTTACCAACTCAAAAATTGCCGACTCTACATTGTTATGTATTCCTCAGAGCACTTCCTTAGACACCATGCAAAGTGTCTCGATTCTGCGGTCACTGGAAGTTCAACCTCGTGATTCAGCTGGAGGCTTTTGCAATGAAAGTGACGTCGAAGATAATCAACAGAATGATGTTAGTACTTACCAGGGCGATGAAACAGACGAGCTGGTGGCAAATGAAAAATGTGATGTGGAAAACAGGGAAGAAATGTACGATGAAACTCGAGGTAATGCTTGTGGTGAAAATCCAGTTCATGATGATGGCAAGGCAAACTTTAAGAGGAGGAATAAAGAAAACAAGCAGATCTTAGGAAGCATCGCTTATACAGAAACCGACGAGACAGTTCGCGATGTTTTACCTTATAGCATCCCCGCCAAAATACCAGAAATAGAAAATCATTGCATTGAAGGAAACAACCTGACGTCGACCGTTATTTGTGATTCAGCCATCCAAGAAAAACCAGCTGGAAACTATGAAGAAAGGGAGACTCATGATAAAGGATTACCGGAACCTTCTGATACAATACTGCCACATGAAAATGTTAAAACTAGTGCTGAGCAGAGCTTGGACTTTGAGGGTTTGGTATCGCTGTTTGACGAGCCCTCGTATAGTAGTACCTCTCAAGACGCAATGCACAAAGAAGAGACCGAACAAAATAGTACTCGTTTAGACAAGGCCGCAGAACAGTTGCAACAAGCCCATACTCTGGATAAGGAGACAAATATGGGACAGTCTTTAGAGGCAGTGCAACAAGTCGAAACTGTCAACAACATTTCAAGTTGTAGTACTCCCAAGGGTGAGAAAACATCACCCCGTAAAAAAGGGCGTGGTCTTGCAAACTTGCAAGACGCTGAGGACAGTGATGATTCTTCGGATTTGTGTGAACGCGTCAAACAAAGGCAAAGAAGGGGAACGTCCAAGATGCTGCTAACAGAGTCTCCCACGACATCACTAACAACTGAGTCGAAGTCAAAAAAGCGAACTGTAGATTCTATGACTAGTTTTAAAACAAGAGGTGAGTCCAGCCTCGAAGGCAGTGCCAAGAAGAAGTTTAAAACATCTGAAGTTCCTTCGCCAAGTCAGCTCTCCTCAGAGAAACCGAACACAGGAAGAAAACAGACACCAAGGAACAGTGAGGTTTCTAGCAAGCAGAAACAAACAGAGGACCTGGTTACTACTGACTGTGATGAACGGAGTCAAAGTCATCAGTCTGAGATGGTCAATTATTCTTGTTCAACCGATAAGAGCGCTGATTCAAATGAAATGATTCCAGCCAGTGTCTCTTCATCAGAAAATTCTAAGTCAGCAGTTATTGATCCAATGGATGTGTATGCTGATCAGACTCATGAAGAGAAGAAGGAAGTTGCCTCAAAGAGAAAAGAGAGCTTGAAATTGCATAAAATTAAAGAAAGAGGCATCTTCGTCGAAGATTATTCATCAGATTTGAAGACAGCAGAAGGAAGGTCTCAAGACGAAAGGCAACACTCTTCTGCACCACAAGTCAAGAATGCTGTGGACCATGACGAATCGACCCAAGGTTTTACGCCATCTCCGAAACTGTCTTTTCTAAGTCAGAAACTTAAGGACAGTACAAGTGGACAGAGCTTAATTAATGAACTGAAAACAAGTCATTTACCTGAATCTCTTCCCTTTGACCCAACTCGGAAAGCGAGTTTCAATGCAACTGGGCAAAGATCCCAGCTGCACGAAGAGGATTTTGTTGACCAGGAACGACTTATTACAGGGCAAGACCATACTGCATATGATGAGGATACTCATGTTCAGAGAAAAACCTTGAGAACTCCACAGTGTTCAAGTGGAATAAATTCCTTAAAAGGCAAGGAAACAGGCGACACCAAAAATAATACTATGGAAAGGGGCGAATATTCCAGTCAACTTGCGGAGAATCGCTCAAAGACATGCAAACCCTTAAGTCAGGAAGGCTGTACCTCAAGTGGGACTCCAACACAGTGTTCACTGGAGGCGGCTGATTTCACGCCCTGTTTGTTTGGAAACGACAGCTGTGAAACTCCAGCCAAGATAGTGAGCCAGAAGAGGACTAAACGTGTGGAAACTCCTCTTCAAAAAGGCATCGAAGAACATAACGGAGAGATGAACGAGGCTGAAATTGAAGAGATAGGTGTTCTAGACGATAGTGAAACCCCTGGTGTGACTGCGTTGCTTTCTGGCAGCCAAAAGGCTGCATCGTTACAAACTGGCTCCGATGGAACTCAAAGTTTTGGAACCAGTCAGAGCATCTCTGTACTACATGACTTGGACGTTCCATCGCAAGGACAAAAAGAGGGTACAGATCGCAGAGACGACCCTAGTGAACCTGCATTTCATGGAGAACATTCCAACACAGAAACAGAGATGGATAAATTGTGGGCAGAACCACATCCAAAGAAACCGAGAAGCAAACAGCAGCCAGAGTCACAAGGGGTGGAAATGAATATGTCAAATTGCCACGGCAAGAAAAAAACTAACGGTTCAGAGCTCACGGAAAGTGAAATTATACCTCCCACACCACCCGTCAAAACTGTTACCAAACACGTGTTCGATGTTCATGCTCAGTCTCCTTTAAAACCTACCAGCCCCAAAAGGAACGTGCAAATGAATGAGAGTAGTACAGCAACCTGCCATTCCAAGAGTTTAACTGTTAAGAGAAAGCGGAGTATAAGAAGTCCCCGTTGTTCAAATTCGCCAAAATTGCAGGAGAATAACGATGATGGCACTGCGATGCACGTCAGCAGTTCTTTTAGTAGGGGGAGTGAAGTCAATGTCTCAGTGCTGGAAAATCATGATCGTAGTTCAATGAATGTTGATATCAAAGGCTTAAGTCAAGCCATGGAGTTTGAAGTTGGTACTAGCACTTCTTCGGAACAACAGCGGGTAAATTTATCACAAGAGACAAATACAGAAATATTAGTTCAAGGATCAAAAATAAACACCAACAAAACGCCAAAGAGGTTAAGACGATTAGACAACATACAACCGCAAGGAACCTATTCTGAAAGCATTTCTCCTCAAGTTTTGGATGGGCCACGTCTTTCACAGTCTGAGGCCAACAGTAAAGTGTCGAAATATGACAACGTTGGACGAGAAGACTTGAGAGATAGTCCGTCAGCTGAAGTGGAAAGCGTACATTCATCTCCATGCAGTCCTGTGAAGCGAAGACTTGATAACATGGGCGATTCATTTGACTGGTCAGGAACTCGAACCGTGCAGAAACGCGATGGGTATTACCAAGATACCTCGGTAGCCCTAAACAACTGTGACAATAACGCTGAACATTTTCGAGGCAAAGAATTCGGAGATTGTTACGTTGACCAGTTAAATTCACCCAACGCTTCACAAGCTCGCGACGAAACTGAAGATTCATCGGAGGATTTCTTAAGGAAATCTGAGGCAAGAGGAGAATTTACTAACCCTTTTGTTGGCAGTATTCGCGTTAGGAATTCCTGCAGTGTCGTTGACGATGAAATTTCATTGACGGACGCTGAAGAGGAAGACTCCTCTGGAGATGAAAGTTTATTGAAGCCGGCTTTTCTTCCCAAAGAATCTCGGAAGTCGCCTGAAAGTCAAATAGATAATACTCATGACAGTGACGATGAGGAGGAAGAAGTGACGATTTTTTCTCAAGAGCTCATTCCTTCTGAAAACGAAGATGACGACGATGATGGAGGTAGGTAGTTCGAGCTATTCTTGGTACAGTTTAAATTTGAACCTGTTTGCTTCCAGCTTGGTTTAGTCATATATTGCAGTTGAAAAAGATACGTTGCATCATAATCTTTTTTCGACACCCTCGACTGACTCACTTTGTGGCACGTATGCTACAAATAGTTGGTGAAGTTATGAATTTCAATCTTTTAGCGTTCGTTTAGTGAGGTTGATTGACTAGCTATTTGAACCTGAGTTGGGTAGTTAATGATATCATTTCCTGAAAATAATTAGATAAATTTGCCACCCATAAAGCATTGGAATGTTAGTTTGGTGGCCAGTTCCAGGTATGTTATACTAATCAAGCAGCGTCTAATGTTGAAACGCTTCTCCTTTATGGTTATATCCTTAGATTTTGATCTTCACCCAATAAAGAAGTTTTCTTTTTTAACTTTTAGTTGGTTTCGTTACCCTCGTCAACAAATTTGGAACAAACCAATTTCTAAGAATAGGTAACGGAAGCAGACGCACAAAATGGGGCTGTAGATTCATTGATCAGAAATAGGGCAGTGTGTACTGAATTCCAGATGAAATACTTTTTGACAGTAAGTAAGTAACGTGGCCGATAGGGAGAAGTCATCGAATATCTCGCTGACAGACACTTTGTCTTGTCAACTCATTGATGGTTGTGTAAAGTAAATAGCAACACAAATTTTGAACCGATTTACGTTACCTACCTACTACATCAAAGCTATTGTGCAACGTAAAACCTTTATTATCTTCATCCTTGTAGCTTCTTATAAAGCATTGGACAGTACTGGAGCATCGACTTCCACATTTCTGTCAGAAGCTGCTGCATCAACTCAGGTTTCTCAATCAATCTTTATTGAGATTCATATCATTTAATATAATATCAATGATTTCTACTCTAATGATGGTGATTCTTTAATAAAAGAATATGCCAAATTTTCGTTGAGACTCGGTACACTGTTTTAAAAAGTCAAGGAGATGATAAAAACTATAAAACAGGGGTTCACCATTCTCGTGTCTATAGGCTATGTTCACACTGTACTGGATGGCTTATGCGCTAAACCATACTGGAAAGGGCTTCTGTTCACACACAAGATAGGTGATATCGGCGCTTATTCTGCGCAACGCTGACTTCTTAAGTGGAAAGTCACATGTCGGATTAGATGTTCAAACTATACTGGCAAGATTTTCGTGTCGGCATGAAAAGCTATCAGGTTTTGTGTGAAAATAGCCTTTGTATGGGTACCTTACAACGCTAACGAATACCACGTGAAGTGGTATTCGTTAGCGTTGTACGGTAGGCCACTTTAGCAATAGCCTTGCCCGACCCAAAACTCTCTCAAAAGCAGCGAATTCACTGCCGAAAAAAAAAAAAATCAGTGAATATTGCTTGGGCTATACTTCCCACAAGTCGACCTCACGAGTTTCTCTTTCACAGCTGTGAGTTTTTGCCAGGGCTTTTTAGGCCGCGAAGCTGCCGAGCGAGCGAGGAATTCACGAGAGATCCCGCGGGCCATATTAAATAGGACGAAGGACTTCTTCGAAAGTCTCTGCTTATGTATGTCATCAATCTGAAATACCCTCTCCTTTTTTGCTCTATTTACTTAAGTAAGGGGAAAAACTAAGGGAAAACTGATGATGTATCTCATTTCCTAACGTGTTTATACTCTCGCTGTACTGACACCAGTTCAGAGGGATTTATACTCACAGCCTGCTGTATTTGTTCTGGTAATTGCTTTCTACAGAGAATGGACGTTCTTCGGCAAGACGTAGAGGCTATGGAAAAAGAAATGGAAGAATTAAGGGCCCATCTTGCAAAAACTGACGAGAATAGAGAAGACGAAGAACATACGCCTAAAGACGACGACTTCCAAAGAAACCGAGAAGCAAACAGCAGCCAGAGTCACAAGGGGTGGAAATGAATATGTCAAATTGCCACGGCAAGAAAAAAACTAACGGTTCAGAGCTCACGGAAAGTGAAATTATACCTCCCACACCACTCGTCAAAACTGTTACCAAGCACGTGTTCGATGTTCATGCTCAGTCTCCTTTAAAACTTACCAGCCCCAAAAGGAATGTGCAAATGAATGAGAGTAGTACAGCAACCTGCCATTCTAAGAGTTTAACTGTTAAGAGAAAGCGGAGTATGAGAAGTCCTCGTTGTTCAAATTCGCCGAAATTGCAGGAGAATAACGATGATGGCACTGCGATGCACGTCAGTAGTTCTTTTAGTAGGGGGAGTGAAGTCAATGTCTCAGTACTGGAAAATCATGATCGTAGTTCAATGAATGTTGATATCAAAGGCTTAAGTCAAGCCATGGAGTTTGAAATTGGTACTAGCGCTTCTTCGGAACAACAGTGGGTAAATTTATCACAAGAGACAAATACAGAAACATTAGTTCATGGATCAAAAATAAACGCCAACAAAACGCCAAAGAGGTTAAGACGATTAGACAACATACAAAGACAAGGAACCTATTCTGAAAGCATTTCTCCTCGAGTTTTGGATGGGCCACGTCTTTCACAGTCTCAGGCCAACAGTAAAGTGTCGAAATATGACAACGTTGGACGAGAAGACTTGAGAGATAGTCCTTCAGCTGAAGTGGAAAGCGTACATTCATCTCCATGCAGTCCTGTTAAGCGACGACTTGATAACATGGGCGATTCATTTGATTGGTCAGGGACTCGAACCGTGCAGAAACGCGGTGGGTATTCCCAGGATAGCCCGGTAGCCCTAAACAACTGGGACAATAGCGCTGAACATTTCCGAGGCAAAGAAGTCGAAGATTGTTACGTTGACCAGTTAAATTCATCCAACGCTTCACAAGCTCGCGACGAAACTGAAGATTCGTCGGAGCATTTCTTAAGGAAATCTGAGACAAAAGGAAAATTGGCTAACCCTTTTGCTGGCAATATTCGCGTTAGGAATTCCTGCAGTGTCGTTGACGAGGAAATTTCATTGACGGACGCTGAAGAGGAAGACTCCTCTGGAGATGAAAGTTTATTGAAGCCTGCTTTTCTTCCCAAAGAATCTCGGAAATCACCTGAAAGTCAAATCGATAATACTCATGACAGTGACGATGAGGAGGAAGAAGTGACGGTTTTTTCGCAAGAGCTCATTCCTTCTGAAAACGAAGATGACGACGATGATGGAGGTAGGTAGTTCGAGCTATTCTTGGTACAGTTTAAATATGAACCTGTTTGCTTCCAGCTTGGTTTAGTCATATATTGCAGTTGAAAAAGAAATCTTGCATCATAATCTTTTTTCGACACCCTCGACTGACTCACTTTGCGGCAAGTATGCTACAAATAGTTGGAGAAGTTAAGAATTTCAACCTTATAACGTCCGTTTAGTGAGGTTGATTGACTAGCTATTTGAACCTGAGTTCTGTAGTTAATGATATCATTTCCTTAAAATAATTAGATAAATTGGCCACCCATAAAGCATTGGAATGTTAGTACGGTGGCCAGTTCCAGATATGTTGTACTAATCAAGCAGCGTCTAATGTTGAAACTCTTCTCCTTTATGGTTGTACCCTTAGATTTTGATCGTCACCCAATAAATAAGTTTTTTTTTTACTTTTAATTGGTTTCGTTGCCCGGAGAACAAAATAGTCTCTAAGTTTGTATAGGTAACGGAAGCAGACCCATATAATGGGTTTGAGGATTCATTGATCAAAGATAGGGTTCAACACCAGACAGCTGGAAAAAAGATAACTGCAGTGTGTACTGAGTTCCAGGTGAAATACGTTTTGACAGTAACGTGGCCAATAGGGAGAAGTCATCGAATATCTCGCTGACAGGCACTTTGTCTAGTCAACTCATTGATGGTTGTGTAAAGTAAATAGCAACACAAATTTTGAACCGATTTACGTTACCTACCTACCACATCAAAGCTATTGTGCAACATAAAACCTTTATTATCTTCATCCTTGTAGCTTCTTATAAAGCATTGGACAGTACTGGAGCATCGACGTCCACATTTCTGTCAGAAGCTGCGGCATCAACTCAGGTTTATCAATCAATCTTTATTGGGATTCATATCATTTATAATGGTAATTGAACTGAGTGGAGTGCAATTTGGTCTGAAATCATACGCGCGCGAGTTCGATTTGAAATCACAAGTATGATTTCATACCAAAATTGCACAACACGAAGTTCAATTACCACTTTATTACATTCATTTTGAAATCGCAGAATTTAGTCAGTAATAATATTTTATTGATCGAGTAGCCGGTTTGTTAAAAAGCCGAAACAAAAAGGCTTTTACATCTCATTTTGTATTTGAAACAGAAATGATGCGATATAGAACAAAAATGGTGCGATTTAAAACAGAAATGATGCGATTTAGAACATGAATGACGCTATTTGGAACAGATGCGATTTAAAGCAAAAAATGGTGCGATTTAGGAATAAATCACACTGCTGAGAGCCAATCAGATTGCACGGATAGCTAGTGATTTCAAAGTGGATGTAATAAAATATAATATCAATGATTTCTCCTCTGATGATGGTGATTCTTTAATAAAAGAATGTGTCAAATTTTCATTGAGACTCGGTACACTGTTTTAAGTAATGATCCGGGTAAGGTGGATAGCAATTTCTTTTGTTATGCGGCAACGGTGCTTTCCCCACATAGGAATGTTCTCATTTTTACACAGAGAATGCATAAACCTACATGACGGCCGTTTACGCAATAAAATGCATTTACCCTCCACTTTGAAAGGGTGTTTTTTTGTGTTAAAAGATTTTGATCAATCACAAGAGTTGAAAACAATAGCCAAGAAAAGATTACAATTTTACATGTTCCCCACATAGGATTTCTTTGTTATTCAAACTGAGACCAGATTTTGTTATATGGAAGATGGCTGGAAAGTAAGGATGAATATATGTACTGCTTTATGAAGTTTTGTTAACTTTTGCTGTTTAAGCCAATCAGAAGTAAGTACAGACAATAGAAAAGTCAGCACCTTTTTTGCATTCCAACATGTTCGTTGCCGTTGTTGCTATCGTTCTTATCTGGACCGTATCTTAAAAACTCAAGGAGATGATAGAAACTATAAAAACAGGGGTTCACCATTCTCGTGTCTATAGGCTATGTTTACACTGTACTGGATGGCTTATGCTCTGACACGAAAACCATACTGGAAAGGGCTTCTGTTCACACACAAGATAGGTGATATCGGCGCTTATTCTGCGCAACGCCGACTTCTTAACTGGAAAGTCACATGTCGGATTAGATGTTCAAATTATACGGGCAAGATTTTCGTGTCGGCATGAAAAGGTATCAGGTTTTGTGTGAAAATAGCCTTTGTACAGGTACCGGACAACGGTAACGAATACCACTTCAAGTGGTATTCGTTAGCGTGCTACGGTAGGCCACTTTAGCAATAGCCTTTCCCGACCCAAAACTCTCTCAAAAGCAGCGAATTCAGTACCGAAAAAAAAAAAATCAATGAATATTGCTTGGGTTAGACTTGCCACAAGTCGACCTCACGAGTTTCTCTCTCACAGTTGTGAGTTTTTTCCAGGGCTTTTTAGGAAGCTAAACGGCCGAGCGAGCGAGGAAGTCTCGAGAGATCCCGCGGGCCGTTATTAAATAGAACGAAGGACTTCTTCGAAAGTCTCTGCTTACCTATGTCTTCAATCTGAAATACTCTCTCCTTTTCTACTCTATTTACTTAAGTAAGGGGAAAAACTGAGGAAGAACTGATGATGTATCTCATTTCCTAACGTGTTTATAATCTCGCTGTACTGACACCAGTTCAGAGGGATTTATACTCACAGCCTGCTGTATTTGTTCTGGTAATTGCTTTCCACAGAGAATGGACGTTCTTCGGCAAGACGTAGAGGCTATGGAAAAAGAAATGGAAGAATTAAGGGCCTATCTTGCAAAAACTGACGAGAATAGAGAAGACGAAGAACATACGCCTAAAGACGACGACATAAACTATCAAGAAGCCGGTAAGAACACTATTAGGCCCTCTGCAGCTAGTCATTAGGGAGCTTCAGCAACTACGACAGCGACGGCTACAAAACGTCAGTTAAAAAGTGACTTCGCTCTGTATCAAACTTAAACGCGTTTGTTCCATCTCGTTCAATTCGTCAAATGTCGCCAAATTTTTCTGGAGTTGAATTCTAAAGGATTGTGTCAAAGAATAGGAAACGAAAACGAAAGTTGTTGTCTTCTGTTCATGACCTCCACAAAAAGTGAAATTAGGCATTTTCACGTCGTAGTCGTGCGTTGACGGCAAAGAAATTTACAAAAAAGCGTGATGCACGTGCAGAGTTGTTGTTTTGCCATTCTAAACCTATTGCTTTTATGCCCTTCTCGTTGACGTCGCCGTCAACGTTGCTTAAGCTCCCTATTTTCATGGTACAAAACCGCCATGCTGGCGAGCAATGGACGCACTGAGAGAAGACAAACAAAGGAAATTACCATTTTAAATGACGTAAGGGCATGCTTACATGGAGGTGGGGACCCCAAATAGGTGAGGTAACATGCGGTGGGTCACCCCACTTATAATGTACACGTGATCAAATTAAAGTAAGATATTACATGGACAGGCAGGTTACTCCACCAAAGTGGGTTACCTTACCTACCTGGGGTCCCCCACCTCCATGTAAACAGGCCTTAAATCTTTTGTTTGTCTTGTCTTAGTGCGTCTCTTGCTCTCAAGCAAGGCGGTTTTGTACGACGTGAATGACATTGTAGCTTTACAGGGCCTATTTGGGATACTGTGGAAGTCAACTCTCGTCTCACTAATCTTGTTCCTTAGAGTTTGTGCTCTTCTGTTCATTTTCATGTCGTCCTGTGCAGAAGTATTTCATGTGGTAACACTATTTTGAACAAAGATTCCGAAATACTACTTTTTTTTCGCTTTTTCTTTTTTACGCTTTTGAAGGCATTTTGTTCTTCGTGTTATCTAGACATATTCAATTGACCACTCCAGAAAATACCACAACATACCATAATGCTCTTTGTTTGTCACCCCAAATTTTGCATAAAGCATTATTTTCAGTTTCTCTTGGGGCTATTTTAACTCCCAAGAGAAACTTAAGACAATGCTTATGCAAAATTTTGGAGTGGCAAACAAAGAGTATTATGGTATGTTATGGTATTTCTGGAGTGGTCAGTTCAGTAAGATCTGGTTCCTTAACTCAAAAAGGAATCCTTTAGCTGTAAAAATGAACTTAGTACAAAAAATAAGACGCATACAGTAAATGCTAAACATAATAGCACATTGATTTTGCAGATTTAGTTGATGATGGAGATATCCAGCCATCGCTAACTCCACCACCGCCACTCACGCCAAAGAGCATCCCTCCAATGCCTCAGCTCTCCACCCCGCTGAAAAACGTCTCACGTTATCTAGAACAGGAGGGGCAGTCTTCCGACGAAGGTAGCGAGTGCGAAGATGCAGCAAGCAGTGAGCCAGTAAAGAGAACAGAGTTGCCAAGGAGATTTGGTTACCAAGGAAACAAAAGTACTACGGAGAGATTTAGTCCAGGAGAGAAGTCTGGAAAGAAGCGTCCTTTGTCTCCGAGTGATGACGATGATGATGGTTTGAGTATCACAGAAGTTGAGCATCGTCAAGAAGAGACGCCTTCTCCTCCTCGCAGTAACCACTCAATCGAAAGATCTCAAGAAAAAGACGAAGACAAGTTGATTGTTATTGACGATAGGGACGGCCCTCAATCAAGAACTGGTTCACTCTTGTTAGTAAAGAGAAGAAAATTGACACATGATCTTGTGCCTAAAAAGTCTCCAGTCGTTAGCTTGTTGTTCACACGTGCAGGCAAAGGTTTAGAGAAACCTGGCCAGTCTCCAGGGACGCGGTCTAAAGGATCATCACCTACCATGAAAAAGTCTTCGTCTTCAATCTATTCGCGAAAACCTGGGACTAGTATTTCACCGATCAGGGGACAGAGTCCAACCAAAACAGGCTCACTTAAAGGAGTGTCACATGACAATTTGTCGAAAAAGGATTCGTCACATAATGGTGTGTCACGCGACGATGCGTCGAACACTAGTGTGTCACAGAGTAATGTGGCACGGGAGAAGTTGTCACATGAACGGAGTCATTCGCCCGACTTGGTGCTCACTAACGTCAAAAAAGTGATAAGCAAGAAAAGCTTGGACAATAAAAGGGAGGACAGGACTACAGACAGGCAGCTATCTTTTGTTGCGACACGTTTAAACAGGCAGCATTTGGTAAGAGTTTGCTTAACGAGGTTCTGCGATACACGTATTTCTAGTTATTATACAGTGAAACCTCTGTTAAGCGGACACCTTCGGGACCTTCCCAAGCGCCCGCTTGATAAAGGGTGTTCGCTTAATAGAGGTTTGTAAAAATCAGGGGCACCCAACGACTGTTTTCTGTAGAATATCTGTTCAGGGAAGGGAAAATTGCCTGGAATTTTCTATAGCTTGAGGAAGGCTAAAAATTTCTAGATGACTTTTCCAGTCGTGTACAATTTTCTAAGCTACTTATCTTATAAATTCCCTACGATTTTCTAAAGTTTAATTTTTCGCATTTCACTCCCCAGGTTAAGCTATTTTTCGTAGAAAAAAGAATCCTAAAAGTTTCGGATTTGGAAATGTCACGGAGAGAGGAATGAGAACAATTCTTACTTTTGCAAAACTTTAAATTGCATCTAAAACTTTCGGGAAAATAGTACCGAAGCCCTAGCAATTTCGAAAAGACTCAAGTTGCCCCAGGATGACCGATCAGATACAAATGTTATAGCGCCGCTTAAAATGCATTCAATTCATTTAGGAAGAAACCGTCGTTGGGTGCCCCTGAAAAGTTGTGCAATTTTTGTTAACAATTGACATTCAGCGGTTACTCTGTACTGTGATTAAGTTTCATGTTGTTGAGGAAAATAAGGAAGCTGTGCTGTACTTTGCGCAAGACTTTTAGGCGAACTTTGATCGCGGATGATAATTATACTGCCGGATATCAGTCTAATCTACAGTTTATTGACAGCTAAATGTATTGATTTATCTTTATTAATCGACTACAGTACGTATTTCAAGGAAGTAATCCAATACTACTATTGTCAATTCAGTCCGGTGTCCGCTTAATAGAGGTTTTTTACAACAGAAATTAGCCAAGTACGATTTATTTTAAGTGTCCGCGTCCGCTTAATAGAGGTGTCCTCTGAACAGGGGTTCGTTATAAAGGGAAATATAAGACGTTAATTTCGGGACCCGGCTTAGCGCCCGCTTAATAGAGGGTGTCCGCTATTTATGCGCTGGTTGAACCCTTTTTCCTGTTTTCTCCTTCAATGTATTGCAGGCTTACGCATGATAGCACGCTGTCAAGGGCGGTTTTGTGCTTCATTATGAGGTTCTGGTGCTTTGATGCAGTCTGCAAACGTATTTTCGGTTACCAACTCTCTCCTTTTCAGGCGAAGGGTGGCGTCAACCATAAATACGTTTGCGATCGTAGGCTCAGTTTGTTGCCGCACCACTTCAGATTTCTTTTTTTATAATATTATCATATATAAATTTTTCCATATAGCGTTTGCCAATTAGACCTAGCTTCCTTCCCTTTACAAAAAGAAACCATCTTTAACATTCCTAGGGAGCTTAGTTTTTGTTGTGGAAATATGGTCGTTCTGGAGAGGTTAAAGCGACAGTAAATAAGAGTGGCCATGAGCAAAGGTTTAACTGTATTTTCGCTCTGTTCACTCTTGTGATATGTTGTTCGCCAGGCTGAAGCTCGCACCCTCGCTGAAATGTATGGTGGAAAACTAGCTAGCGAGTTCAACAGCAAGACAAGTCACGTGATTATGACCACTGGTATGTCGCTACATGCTGGCAAAATCTGCTAGATAGTTAACGTACCCTTGACACATATTTAACCTTTTCACTATCACAGAGTCCATCTCGGTTGCATACAATGTTGTCTAACTTAGCTTTTCAGCATCATATAATCTGATCTTCGTATTAAACCGCCTACTTGCGATTGTTACACTTTATGACTGGTCCCGACTGAAACATTTCACATTCGTTGGATGTTACGTGATATCAAAGTACATTAGCCAATGAAAGCGCGCTTTTGAGGAAAAATCGAGCTCTATAGCAATAGCATTTATCAGTTTTTAGCACTCATAGATTCTCGCGTTCAATCGTTCGCAGATCTTCCCCTTTCAAGTGTCTCGAAAATGCATGAAAACTACTTTTTAGTGTCGCAATGAAAATGATAATTTTAAACTGCCAATGCTCCATCATTCTGAACTGTTCAGACAATTTTTTTTTACCTCGTTTAATGACAAGAACCGAGAATGATCTTTCTTTCTTCCAGATGAGAATATGCAGGTGACACGTCATAGTTATACCATGAAGTACCTACTGGGTCTGGCTCTTGGAAAATGGATTGTGAGTCATCGATGTAAGTCAATCACTTGATTAAATTAAAAATCTTGTTCACATGAAATCAAAATTAAAATCCTTCCTTCACAACGCTCGTAAACACAAAGTGCATCGATTAGAATTTAGAGCGAACGGGAGTGCGAGAGCCATTCTAGTTTCCAGATTCCCACGGCTTTTTACTCCGAACGAGTTGAGGCGGGGTTCTGGTAACGAAATCTTGTTTTCTGAGCATTTTGCTATTGGTTCTGGTTTTATCTCTTTTTTTGGAAAAAAAATTGCGCGAAATTTTTACGAATTTAGTTCATACAATCGTCTAAAGATCGTTCTAATATGCTCAACTATATGTATCACTTTGTTCCCAACTCCAAAGCATGCTTAGGCTAAGCGGGATCCCATCTCATTGGTTTTGTTTCTGCCTTTTTTACATTTTTTTTTTTTCATGTCGCGGTGTGTTATTTACGCTATGGTAATTTTTTTTGTATTCACAGGGATTGCTGCTTGTAACCAAGCCAAATCACTTGTTTCAGAGGTGATATCACCGTTTCATTATGGGTTCTTTATTAGGTTTCTTAATGCTGCCACAAGCAATGTAGAAAGCTCAACCTAAAACCAAAAGGCAGAACACCTTATTTTCGTTCGCTTTGATCCGCTTTTCATTCCTTATACAGAGACAGTCCTTTGACATATAAACAGGGTATGTAGTTAGCCAAATACCCTGACATAACAGCAACACCGACACACTCACCATCGACCCTTGCACCTCTAGTTCACGTAATCAGATCTTTGTGAAGTACAAAACCATGTAGTGTGTCGGTCTTGTAACATCGAATTTTTTGCCTTGGTTTTATTCACCGCATCAGCTGAGAAGGACCGAGATTTCAGTTCATGGCAAACGATACGTAGATACTTTTCTTTAACAACGATCTCCGATTCGCACGTTTTAGGTGGATTATGAAGTAAAAGGTGATGCAGGTCTTGGACAAGCTTCTATTCCACGAGTAGCAAGAACAGCCAGAAGCAACAAAGTACGACTTAATCTGTATAAACGAATTTGGCTCGATTTCAGTGAATATTTTTACTGATTAAAGATTGCCTGGGAATTCCGTAATTTGTTTTGTTTTTATTTAGGAAGCACTTTTATTTCAAGACTATGAAGTCCTGTGTTTAGGTGAATTCAGCGCTGCTGTCACTAAAGGTAATGTATGATGCGTGTTATTATCATTTAGCAGTCACTTAGTAGACGTAATGAAAATTCGGCACTTTATAAAAGTGGAAGAAACTGGACTGTTATTTTCACGGACAGCAAGCCTTAGCTCTACGTTATCTCTTTCTTCAACCACTTCTTCTAAGAGGTGCATGCGATTTAGGGTTTTAAATGGAGGACAAGCATCGCCTCAGATATAAAGTTTGTATTTGGGTAAGAAAGGATATCTGGGGCAAAGGAGGGGGGGGAGTGTATATCTGGGGAATGCAAGGAGTCCCCCTTCCTCTTTCCCCCTTCCCACTTCCCTAAGTACTGTGGTCCGTCTGTGGCTGTTACACTGAATTTAGTAGCCAGTGTTGTCTCCCTACTATGTAGAAAGAACGGGCTGAAAATGATTTGTTTTGTATTATTTCTTACCTTTAAAAATTACAGAACAACTCAGCCAGTTATTGAGATTTTGTGGAGCAAGTGTCTTCATTGACGCGGAAAGCATGAAAAGGACCGAAAAGGTACGTTACATGGGACATTTATGAATAATCTTCATTTTTTGAAAGTCAAAACTAGGAATTTCATGCTTTCCGGCTCAGTTCACTGATCATCTCTTTTAAGATCTTTTAGAACTTTTATGTAGCCATAGGTAATCGAATTTCCCTTTCGTGAAAGTAACAGGAGTTGTTTTAAGTTTTTATTTTGAAAAAACAGATTACCATAAAAACGTCTGATGAAAAAAAGTGGCCTTTTGAACAAACTGAGATTTTTTTTTTTTAGAAAATTTTAAGGTATTTACTTCTTTGGCACGACTATTCCGCTGGTCATGAAATTTACAGGCTCGTATTTGACGTCATGAGTCATAAATTCGGCAATTGAAAAACGGGATTTTATACATACTTATCCTTTCCTTTACAGTGCGACTACTGTAACCGGGGCCACTTAGACAAAGTTGACCAATCGGATTACAGGAAAATAAAAATACATTCCAAGAAAGTCAGTTGTCGACCAATCAGCAGCTCGTAAAAAAAATAATAAGTTACTCGCAGCACAAAACTTAATATTGATAGCGTTTTTGAGGAAAGCAAAATGTTTCACACAGTGTTTTTCTATTCGCAACTTTGCATATAACACCCAGTCACGTGTTCCTTAATGTACGTCATAGTTCTTTAATGTACGTCATAGCTCCTTTGATTCCGTGCCACTTCCTTTCTTCGTAAAGGTTCTCATAGTATTGTGCAGTTAATAAAAAACCAAAATTTTTAGGTTATGGGCACCTGTTTTAGTTAAAACTAAACAGAATACCTGTTGTTTTTACTCTCTAGGGTCGTCAAAGAGTCGTCACAATTGACAAGGAAACTCGTGACAACGCTAAAGAACTTAAAGGTATACAAAACTGCATTTTAAGCCCCGTGCAAACGGACGCAACATTGTTGGATTTTACATGTTGCGTCCGTTTGCAGTCTGTTGAATGTTTGTTACATGTTGTTGAGTGTTTTTGGGAGTCGTTACGCAAAGTATGAAACCGGTCAATCTTTTAGCTACGTAAAAACGGACGCTACAACTCCCAGGATTGTTGGCCACACGTAGCTTAATACTATGTTATTTGATCTGGCTCCCTTGATATGTTTGTTTTAAGGGAATGTCATTTTTCTTTGGTCAAATTTAATCGATTTTTTAATTGATATATCGCTTTTCATTTTGTATAGCTATCTGCCGTCAACTTAACAAGAAACCTGTATCTTTGGAGTGGGTCACCGATAGTATTGCAAATTACAAGTAAGTAGCCTGGACAACTTCAAGTTACCCTTTTGTGGCCAAGACGAGGGCACTGTCGCCTATATAAAATAGAACACAACGTAGTTTTTCTCGGTAATTTCTACGTCATGGTTTTTGCTTTGGGACCGTATACCTGTGAGCATTACGTTTTTCCAAGTTACAAATGAAAGATTTGTTGTTGTTTTTTTCGTACTTAGTGTGGATTTGATTATCTTCCCTTCCAAGACTGAAAATGTTATTGTTACGATAACTATTACGATCGTTATACTACTACATGACAAATTTCTGCAATTTCATTGGCTAAGAGCAGTGGTATTTCAGCTTAATTTGAAATACCTACATGTGAAAACATCACTACAAATCATGCTATTACCTATGCATATACTGTCATTGCACATGGCTTCTTTATTCGTCTCTGTAATTTTCTAATCAAAATCATTGTCCTTTTTTGTCGCCAGGATTCAAGATTTAAAGGACTATATCGTCGAACTGTGAAGTAAACTATATTATTACTTACCGAAAAGGATAAAGATTGATATACATGTATTAACGAACTCACTTAATACTACGGGGTAATCGTAACATTTCATCTGTGACTCAAGTAAAATGTCAGGACTCAATAATTGACTTTTAAACCTGAAAGAAAATAGGGAAGTAGACCTACACAACGAAAAAACAAATCGGTTTTATGTCTGTTCTTTATTCAAGACTATACAGAGAACAGATTCAAGGAGAGAAAAGTTTAAACATGTGTCGGTACCGTGTTGAGTAGTAAATTGTTGTTTATTAATATTTGAATTCTAGACAGGTTATCAGTCTGTCAGGAGACGGATCCTACCTGCTGTAAATGAAATAGGTTTTATATTGTCAATTTTAGGCCATGCGGTCTTTATTACAGAGTAAATATTATTCTCGTGATTTGTTGTTTGCCAGTCCAGTTTCTCATCATGGAGAAAAGAAAACAAAAATATCGCAAAACTTTAAGGGAATTGGTATCTTCTAGAAGAGGGAATGAAAAGGCAGTAAGAAGATAATGCATACCCTGGTTGTTATTGTTATTTTTTCTGTTTGGGGGCAACGGAATTGAGCGGCGAAGCTGGCAATTCAACCCTTCGCTTTCTACGCTTCTCGTCGCTGGTGAGCGAGAAGACTTCTGCCATCCAGGGAAGATAATGCAATCAGAAAAACTGAATCAGTCTTCTCTTAATGAACTCTACACACAATTTGTGCGTAGATACGCCAACATAGAAATACAGAAAACAATGCATACATGTATGGATACATTTATTGCAACTTCTAATGCGTACTTTTCTGTAACAATACAGTTATTATGATTAACAACTAGAAACAACTATGAAAACTTAATTTCTTTAAAAAAAAAAGGTATATACTTTACCTTTGCAAGTTAACTGAGCTGGATTAAGTGGTCTTGAACATAGTTGTGTGATGCAAATATTAGTATTTCAATGCTGTGCTGATTTCGGGTTCGCTTGAAGTACGTCAGCATAGCATGTCAGTCTTCTTATTACCGAATATCGGTTGTCTACAACACCCGTGGGCCTCTTTGTTTTTGATAATCCTTGAGTTTATCACAGAAAGAAAATGAAAATCGCCGTAGTTCAGTTTCTCTTCGTCGGGAATTCCCGGTTACGTTTCAGGGAAATTCCCACACTCCGCGATTGGAAAAGGACAGGTGAAATCATCCACAGACAGATTATAACCGGGCCGTAATGATATGCCAATATATATATTTTTGACTTTTATGGATCATAGAAGCGACGTCAAAATGCTGAAAACATAAACATAAACGCCCATTTCGAGCGAAGTTTCTTGGAAAATCCCTCGCGTGACGAAGAAAACAGATTGGGCACCGTTAACGTACGTCACATCCATTGTCTATGCTCTCATTGATAAGCGCCCGAGAAATCACTATTAAATTAAGATGTACGTTCTTGTCTGTCTGGCCCACGCAAGGCTCAGTTACTCACAGTTCAATATATGACCTTTCTCTCTTGTTAGCTGTCAGGATTTTTACGCCTATTTAATTCCGGAAAGTGCGAACAAAGGACGGTGCTTATTACGATGCGTCCCAAAACAAATTGACTTTTTGAACTACTGGAGACAGGTCGAGGCATGTTTCGACGACTGTTTCAACTTCGTAGTTCGACTGGAAATTTCCAATAAAAAATGAAATTGTCGCAACACTTTCCGCGGGAATTCTACGTTTCTGGGGATTCCCCTTAGCTACAACCTCTGAATTATTTATTTCCCATGGCCGTGTACGATTTCGACTCATAACTTCCTTCGAGATCAGTTGAGACAGATGAGCAGCGATCGAAATGAAAGCTCACGAGAAACAGCTCCTTGATAAAAGGCTGAAGGATTTTATGTATGAAATCATACCTTTAGAGCTACTTCCGTTCCTTCCCTGCTTGAGACCGCAAGATAGAGAAGAGATCGAAGCCAAACAGTGTAATCATGGTCCGATAAAGGCCACTTTTGTTCTTGTTGATCGACTTAAAAAGAAAGACAGAGGATTTCAAGAATTTGTACAGGCTCTGAGGGAATGTGGAAGTGAGCATATAGCATTGATGCTGGATCCATATTACCCTTTTGTTTCTGAGGAAGGTGAGTAATTACATATATATTATATGAAGTCATATTCTATTTAACTGCAGTCAAAGCTGACTGGTCGTTTCGATACAAGTCGTCTCATTCGATACGAACTCAAGCAGTGAAATTGCACAAAACGTTTGACCATTTTAAGTATAGTTTGCGCGTGAACATTTGGGGTGACGTGAAACTATTTACACCTCAACTGAATAAACTTATACTGGAAACTACCGGTAACTCATAGTCAAACCCGTCGATCAAGACACTGAGGGGGCCATCAGGAAGCGTCCGAATGAAGGGCTTTCTTTCCTCAGGGACAAGGCAAACTGTCCGTAATAATGAAGTGACCGTATTAAGCGAGTGTCCGTATCGCGGGGTTTGACTGTATATCAACATATCAAATGTTTTGTTCACGCTAGTAAGCTGTGTTTTAAACCCTGTATTGTGTACAAGAGTGCTTACAAGGCAAATTTTTAATGCTAATGAATATCACACTTCAGTTAAAATTTGTCCATTACCAATGTGGACCTTGTGGATCTCGCAATTTATTAAACCATGTTTTTCAAGTTTAAATACTGTAGGTGGATTTAAATACTATATATTGTGTTCGGTGTTGAGCTCTCTGAGAAATAATCCTGTCGGCTGTTTCTATGCTATTCATAAAATTTTAGATGGAAAAAGAAATCTTGTTTTGTTTGGTAGAATACACGAGCTTACGATAAGTGGATTGTTTCTTTCCCTCTCGGGGAATACTTTACGCCGTTTGGGTTTCTAGCCGAAGTTAGATTGCAAGATGATTGTCGCTCAATTTCATTGGAGGGATTAAAGGAAATCATTATCGAAACACCGCGTTGATAAAAATACTTTTTTCGTTTATTCCCTCGTCAATGTACTTGCTCTATCAGTTTAGCACAGTTTAAAACGTTAAAAAACGGCTTTCATTGTATAATGAATTAATTTATGCTATGTGGTTGTCCCACTGATATTAAGATATTGCTACGTAGGAAAAATAATCAGGACATAAAAACCGGAAGTATATAAGTACATAAAACGCGAAACCGAAAGTTTTGTGGGAGGAAATGAACTGTTTATTATTCATTTATCATTAGTTTTAAAACAAAACAAAAACGGGTTTGGGTGATATTTTAAGCAATAGTCACAGTAAACCGCAAACTCCCGGATTTGGGCAGATTTGTTCCCAAACAATCGGATGCGGTTTCGTTTTGTAAATTTTTGTTAGTGGTAGCTTTCTGTAGATATATAGCTGCAAATTTGTGATATGTGATATTCCGACTGTCTGAGACCCTAGCATTCCTTACTCATTTACACCTAATATAATTTGTTGATCCAATTTGTTGGCGTTTTGCCTTTTGAATCAGGAACTGAAGAGGTCAACTTGAAAACCGAAGAAGAACGCTCAAGTGGCGATGATTCCAGAACCGATGTCGTCAGATATTGCAGAGGAGCTCGAGGTATCAGAAATGGCAATTCTTTTAATAATAACACAGATAGTTTCCTTATCAAGATCAACCTACGCTGAAACGGTCCCTATAACTCTCTCTTAAGATTATATATATACGGAATACCTTCAGGGGGGTCTCGGACACAAGCAAGTGATGTTAGCGCTTTCCCGTTAAGATGGCCGCTTAGCACTAATCCATGCATAAATTTTACTCCGGGTTTCTTTTTCTTTAGTGTTCAAAAGCATTTTTTCAGATCGTTTTCTGTATTCTTTTTAGAGTATTCAACCATCAAATTGTAGACGATCAAGAGAATTGAACCGAATTTGCTTCTAAACTTTCATGTCTCGGTTCAAATTTCACACGAACCCTGGGTTATCTTAACGCAGCTTTGAACAACCCAGCCTAGATACCTAAATGAAAGCTTTGAACTGGCTATCTTAATAAACCAACGATTTAAAAAAAAAACTTCCATGTCGATTATTTTTGTGATATTTTTATACAAGCGTCAGAATAAGCTTTTGAAAAAACTAAACCTCCAAGATATATTTGTTCGAATGACCTAACATTTTAAGAGATG